CGGTGCGGGCCCCGACGGGCTGCTGCGGGCACTGTTCGGGTCTTGCCCCAAACCCTGCCTCCGCAGCGCGGGTCTCGCCGCAGACCCGCCCCTGTCGGGGCGACTCTCCTGCCGCCGAGTAAGTGGGAATCCTGATTTTTTCGTAACAAGGAACTAACTTTGGAACACGCTTTTTTAGGAATTGTAAAAATGTTTTGTAAAAAAAAAAAAAAAAAAAGGAAATAGCACAGATATTTCAACAGGTAAAAGACTTTTTTTAATTAACTCTCCTGAGTGAGGTTGGCGGCGGAGCCAGCCCTAGTCTGAACCCCTTCAGGTCGGAACGATGGGAGGTTTCCATTGGGACAGGTCACCTCCCTCTCCGAGCTCTCACTGTAGTCTTTAAAACTAGACGTTTTCAGGGATTCGTCAGAGAAAAACGCTTTAGCCTTTCCTTTCACTTAGGGACACTAATGCATCAGGAACTTGCGGATTACTGTGCGCACAAGACATACATAGTAAATACGGAACACGGTGACTCCTAACAAACAGTTGATCACGGGAAGAAGCTGAATTAGAATGTGAAAGAAAGACTTAACAAATGTAAACATTGAAATCCTGGTAGAAACTTTCTTCACTTTGCTGTGCAAGAGAACACTGCTTTGCTATATTTAAAATGGCTTTTTTAAAAGAGATTTATGTATTTGGTAAATGTTTGTAGTCAACAGTTCACAGAGAAGCTGTTCACGGTTTAATGGTGATAAGCCGTTTGGCGGCACAAGCTGGACTTTGTTGCCATCCTTGAGACGAATCTTTTAAGAAAAAAAATAAGTTAATCTCGATTTTTTTTTTCCCTGAATGTGTTGTTTTTTCTTCAATATACAATAAATATTCTAGTGAACTTTTTATCAAATGGTTAAGAAAATGCTAGAGGTTGTTGTAAAATATTTGTATCCTGCATTCACTAAAGTAAAGATACTGGCTTTTACTGTGTACCCCGGCCTCGCTCGTGTTTGCAGATCCCCCCCTCGGCTGCCCACAGCTCTCCCCGGGCTCGGCTTCGAGGTGCCGCTCCTGAACCGTGCGGGAGCGCTCCTGGGCAGCGCCGACCCTTCCGGGCCACGCGCTCGCGTTGCCTTCAGAGGGCGAGCCCGTGCTCGGCCAGAACCCGAGTGCCAAACGCTTCCAGACCCCGGCCAACACCCCGGGCGGGTTCGAGGGGCAGAGCCCCCAAGGCTGGGGCCAGCGGACCGCCTCTGGCACGGAGGGAACTC